TCAATCTCCCGATTCAAGGCCTTGCTGCTGGATTCAGTTTACCATCATATCCAGGATTAATTAATATTGTGAACAGTGATATTATATAAAAAAAGGTACTGAAAAGTTATTCCAAAAATCCCTTCTGAATAAAATTATAATATCCTTTAATTACTTTGAACTATTGCTCCCATTTTGGTTGTTATAAATGTTATCACAAACACCATTTTGGTCAAGTACTCTCTGGCACTTATCAACTGACAATTGTTTCAGTTGACATGAGATAACTGTTGATTATTATGTTATTTGTCCCTGTGATGTCAGTTATTGTTCATTCCATTTGAACCAGGGTTTCATTACCAGATACAGTGATTGAACTCACGATTAATAGATGACAGCACCATATATTTAACCCACTTGCATATCTTCTACACCTTCATCCTGAAGGACATTACTGTTGTATTTTTGGAGCTTTTTATAAATCCAATGTCATATGGTTTTGACATTTGCTTATCATGGTAGATTCATACTGCTTGTTATAATTTAGATAATATTTTGAATTTCTTGAGGTGAGGAATTGCTAATATATTTCAGTTATTTTGAACTATGGTTACTATAGATGTTATTATATTTATACTAAAGTATATGGGCAATTACTCATCTCAAAAATGAAAAGCAAAATTATGTAAAAATTATTTAGTTATCTAGATAGATTTAGAGAAGTGAGTCAGACTGAGAACTTTTCAGCACCCTCTCATAGTAACTACATTTAATTTGTTACCAGTAAAATAATTATTCCCTTTCTTTTCTTTTGTTTCAATACAAAAACAGATATTTATTTGCTCGACTTATTAACATTCTAGTCTAAATGCACAGATTATTTTTTTTAAAGTGATATCTTTCCATGAACCTAGCTTTTTTTTCTTTTTTAATTGCCAGTGATGTAATACATATATGGAGATAATGTCCAGCTACTCATTTTCCTAGCACACCCATCTGCTAGGGCAGCTAGCCAATCCCCATTGCAGACGCCTACTCAAACACATTCATGTTTTGTCAACACCCACAGAGCTCACCCGTGGTTTATGCTGAAACTATGCTGAGTGGACTGTAGTTACAGTTTGTTGGAGACAGCGCATAAAATACATATATTATACACACGAGGAAACTTGAAAAATACATCAATGAGTCAGTAAAAGTCTTTTAACGAAGAGAACCTATTTAGATAGACACATACCCAAGCATACAACACTCCTTGTTTAATGACGATGACAGCAGCATTGATTGACTTTTTAATGACTTTGCTTCTGACTGCTTTCTCCTTCCCAGTTCAATTGCCAACTGAACAGGCCAAAGATTTTCTATCTTTTGTAGAACATACACCAATTGGCTAACAATCAAAAGATGAAAGAGTGATATCAGTTCTTTTACACATCAACATAATGAGAAGTCCACAGCAAAAATTTGAATACAGTCATTATCATAGAGAAGCTCTCAAAGAAGCCAGCAGTTACAGTAATTGATATGTTTGATACTTTCAACTTACATATGACTAAAAGACAAAGCATAGATGCTTTAAAACTCAAAATGCTAATCTTCTAGAAGATATCTCTTGTATAAAAGTCTTATCTGAAAGACAATGAGAAACACATAGAAACAGGAGAAAAATAGCTTATTTATCAAACTTGCAAAGTAATTCAGATATCTAAACCAATGAGTTTTGCACACTTACAATAAACTGGAGCAAACAGAAAACAACTGTTTATAAAAGAAACAGGATTAAAACAATAAAGCAGCAATCTAAATAGCAATAATAAAGGATTAAACAAAAAAAGACAAGTTATACATAGCAATAAAGAGATACAACAAAATGGCATCAAAACTTTATACAGAAACAGAAAGAAGCCAAGCACAAAAAATAATGCTCATCTTTTAAGAATGCAACAGACAAGTGAATAAGATAAACCAACCAAATAAAAATATCTACCTTCAAAATAAATATGAGATTAAATGCTTCGTTTCTTAAAATCTATCTATATATTAGAAACTGAAGAAAAATATATTCAACAGGCAAATGATAAATAATTTGAAAGTAAACAGAAAACATAAATCATAACTGGAAAAAAAAAAAAGACTATAAAAAAAATGGACTATAAGCAGAGATTATATAGTAAACAAAATTTTACTTAGAAATATAGTTGATTTGGAAAACATGCCATAAAGATATTTATATAAATAAAATATATCCAAGATTGTTTTATAGTAAAAACTAAAATCAAAGTGCAGGAATTCAAATACAACCGGTCTGATACTACATGTGTTACTAATATAAAAAATAAGTTTATAAACATCAGTTCCATTTCAAAAACATCAAAATTGAAGACAAAGACATTTTATCAATTATTTAAAAATAAAATAAGAGATTAGATTTAAATGACAAGAATAAAAAATGCAAGCTAAAAATTAGGGGTCTTTTTTGTTTTTAATTCTGTTAGAATAATGAAATACATTTTAATTGTGAATCAGTAATTACTACAATTAAACAAATGTTTTTAATAAATCTTTTGCAATATGGCACACAAAAATAACCTATTACTCTAAACATCATTTTAGTGGATGCCCATGTTTAAGTAGAAACCAGTTTTTTTTAAACAGTATCTACCAGAGTGCACATTTGAGAGATGTAATAAAGAAATCTGCAGAGAAAGTGAGAGAGAACACATTATCTTTAAGTCTCAAGTGTGTCAATTTAATTCACTGTTTAAGAAAAATAAAAAAAATACAGAGTCTATTCAAACAAGGGTATACTCTAAAATAATGTTTATAATAAGAAATAATATCAAATTAAAAATAAAATCCATTAATTTCTTAAAATTGACAGTTTTCTTTTTTCATACACAAAGCACCAGTGAATTATCATCTTGATTGCTTTTTGTTTAAAAATCAACAACAAAGTCAATGATCTTTTATCATTTCTTCAAACTAAATGTATTCTCAATTATTTATCTTTTGTCAAAGCTCAATGAGTAAAAAGAGAGCAGTAAGAATCAATTAGAAAAAAAACAGAAAAAACAGGAGGTAGAGCTGGATTAGAATCAAATAATAATATTCCATTTTTTGGTTCATTTTTTTTTTTTTTTTACAAATTCTATATGACAAAATCCAAGACACTTACACTTAATAGGAATGCTTTACAAAGAACAAAATTAACATAAAAGTTATACCCAAATACATTGTTTTGTTTTATTCTGTAATCTGAAGTTAAAAAGTTAAAATATTTGTATGTTGCTGACATTATCTAAACAGTATGCATCACCAATGAGATCAGACAGCTGATATCTACAGAAGTAAAAGCTCTAGGCTTATAGACTGTCACAGTATAGCCACAGATATTAGTCTTGTGCTAGATTAGTTGTTTTAAAGTTGCACTATACCTTATACCCAGGGATAAAATGTGACAGGGGTACTAGGGGTATTGGCCAGGGAGCAAAGGTAGAGTAGTTGAAAAAAAGTTAAGAACCACTGTTTACTAACCTAAGTTTCTATCATGATATAACCTTTATGGGTTTTGGCAACATTTGTTCTAAACTGGTTTTCACATTACTGAAATAAAATATTAGTTTCCTCTGCATGTATACTTCCTTTCTTATGCCTTCAGTGTTATATCGAGTTAAAGAACTTGGTTTAATATAAGATATGTCTTTCATTTTCAATGCCTTCATCAGGTTTTAGGAGCGACAAGAATTTCAAATCATTCAATGGTAAGAAGTAATAATTCAGAATTATTTTTTACTGTTTCATGCTTGAGGCAAATATCAATGGATAATTCTGATGAATCTTTTTAATCATCTTGAATGACTGTTGACAAAATAGTGAATGAGGCATTTCCTCAATGATAACTAAATTTTTGGTGGACTGTCTCATAGCTGAGATATTATACCATAGGTTGGTTTTCAGCAAATATGGATAAACATGCTCACAATAAGATGTAATGTCAAATGGACAGGTTTTCCCATGACACTTCTTTTTTAACTACCTTCACTCTTTGGTAATATTTATTGTTTTAAAAAGCATTGATTAGAATTGGAATAAAACCTAAACATATGATGAAAGTGAGTCTATACAATTTTTTTTGTTCTTAAGAATTTAAAACAAAAATATTAAAAATTCTTTATTTATTAGATTGAATAATTTTATATTTACAACATTCTAAAATTTAATACAATTAAAAGTAATGCAATGCAATATTTATCATTTACCAATTTATAATGAAATAAATGTGAAAAAAACTTTTAGTCATCAATTCATAAACATTTACTAAATTATTAAAATATATGAACCAACTAAAAGAAAATCCTTATTATTTACCATTTTATAAAGTTTAACTCAATTGGCAATTAGCTGATGTTTTGTCCATCCATTTCAATAAATAATATAAATAAATAGTGTAAATAAACAATCTACTAGTGTTTATTATTTTTGTTGTTAAATCTCAATAACAAAGAAAATGTAAAAATTGACTTTCATATGTTTAATTTTTATTCCAATTCTAATCATCATTTTTTTAAATTAAACATTGCTGAAAAATGAAGGTAGTTGACAAAGTGGTATCATGGGGAAAAGTCGTCCTTTCTACATGCCATCTTACTGAAGGCACATTTATCCATGTTTGCTGGTTTTCAAGCCCAAGTAAAAATCCATGATTGCAAATGCTGATTTTCAAAGGCAGTGGCCTCTCTTTACTTGGATGACTGTCTTACTACATTTTCAGCATTTAGTCTTGTACTGTACTGGGCTAAATTTAGTAAATGTGAAGATATGTCAGTTTTAACATCTACACAAAGATAAAAATATCAATACTGAAATAACAATTTTCTTCATCAAATTTTAAAATTAACTTTATCAATATAATTATCACTTTATTCATAGATTTGAACAATCAATTTATTTAAAATTTTAATTAAACTAATAATGACATAAAAGGCAAATATCTGATATTAATTCTATAAAATTTAACTTACCTTCCTTTACGAGAGAGGCTCAAGTCTTTCTGTAAGAAAAAAAAACGTCATTGTTATTAGACATTAATGTGATGAAGGAAACCTGCAATACAAAATAAAATGATTACAAATTCTAAAACTTTTCAAAACTAAAACTATGAAATTTACTCAAATGATCTAAATATTAAAGCAATTTATAAACAGTAATATTTATTATATAAAAATTATAAACTTTATAATATTTATTTGATAATTTCTTTATTATAGAAATTATAATTTGTATACTTCAACATAATCATGCAGTTCTCAAATCTTACTTTTTCTCTAAATCAGAAACAATTTTTAGATTTTTTTTCAGAATTTGTCAGATCAAATTTATATTTTTCCTAATATGATGCTAAAATATATATATTTTCTTTTTAAAATTTACAGTTGTTTGTAGATTTTTTTTTCTTTTTTAATATTTAACATTTCCAAGACATTATCTAATCTTTTTTGCTGTTTTTTTTTCCTTTTGTCATAATGTCGCAGTTTGTTTTTGTTTTTTTTTAATTTCTTCAGATTAAAGAGTCCAATACAGATTCTTGTTGGTGGTCTTAAATCCACTTACAAAACAGTCTGTAGATTCTGTTTCATTACTATAGGAATTATTCCTGACATTCAGTTATTTCATGCATTACTGTTTGTAGTATCTTAATTGCCTTTAGTTTATAGTTTCCTTGTTTTTCTCTTCCTTCATTTTCTTTGATTTCTTATACAGACCAATAAAATCAATTTTGGAGAGTCTTCAAATATAAAACCAACAAAACTGTTCTACAAACACTCACTTGACCTTTTAGTGACCATTGATCCACCAGTTTAACATTTTTTTTTTATATCACCATCATAACATAGTTTTCCTGTACTTTTTTTTTTATAAATATTTTCATGGTAATTGTTCTGATGATATTTCCTCTTTGGTACCTCAACTTTATGAATTTACATGCAGTACTACATTGGCAGCTAGGTCTCATCATTTTACAGTTGAAATGACTAGATGTAACCATAAGTTTTATTGCTAACCATTTCTTCTCTCATACTTCTAGCTTATGGAAATCTCTGCCACCTTCTTGCTTTCCAGTCAACATTGATCTTCAATATTTAAACACAATGTCAATAATTATCTTCTCTTAATTCTTGTTCTTTTATTGTCCTCTCTCTCTCTCTCTCTCTCTCTCTCTCTCTCTCTATAATAATTTTTTTTTCTTAGATTCTTTCACACTCAGTAACTACTTGCATTTTAGTGGCTTTATTGCCTTGCTTGGGATAAAATGATTAATAAAATACAAAAAAAAACAGACAAGCATTAATTTTGATTATTTTATCAATAATATACATGGAAAAAGTAAAATACAATATGTGCTTATGCATCATGTTAAAGTAGAATTAATGCTAGTCTGGTATAAAAAAAAACACATTTTAAAATAAAATATATGCTAGTCTGTATATAAAACATAAGTCTTAAAATTTTCTAGGGAAACAATGGGAACTCAAAGACTAAATGAATCTGAAGATTATAGTAAGAATATTATGATGATTATAGTAAAAAATATAAAAAATTAATTGAATATAAACAACATATCTCAAAACTCATGACAAAAACTCTAAGGCTTCCAGATTAACTTTTTTCACCATCATCCTGAAACTGTCTGAAAATGTAACTTTAATCATCTCAAAAATCATTTTAAACTTTCCCAAAATCAAAATGTTGTTTTTTTTAACTTTATCATTTATAGTTGTTAGTATGATAAAAATATCATTAAAATGATTAGGAAATAGATATTTTGATCAAGGCAATAGGTATCATCAGTTTGATTTTGATCAAATAAATAAGTTTTAATAATAAATAAAAGAAAGAAGTTCAATTTTACTGTAATTTTTATAAAAATCACAATTTAATTTTTATTTAATCATTTCAATTAAATCTTTTTAATTAATTTCACATTGAAATGTTATTAATTCATTTTCATTCTCAGAGCAAATTTTAAGAATTATTCTCAATGCATTCATTTTCTATATAAGAATATTAGCATATTACAACTATTCACATTCAAAAAATGTTTCTAAAGCTTTTAGCAAAAAACTTCTATTTTCAATTACCTGCTTCATATTGTAACTGAATTTTTTATGTTTATCATTTTGTAATTTCTACTTGTTTTTTTTTTCAATTTAGTTTGCAATAAGCAGAAAACGTAACAAATAATTTTGATTAATGGTTTGTTCAAGTTTCTTAACCAAAAATTGACAGAAAAATATAGAATGTTATTGCTTTTGCTTTAAAACAAAATTAGTTCTTCATATTTAGTGATACATCAAACAAATATCTAAATTTAAGGCCTTTGGCCTTCATTTTTCATGTGGGTTTCATTCACCAGTTTAAAAAGAAGCACTTAAGTCTTTTCTTTTCTTTTTTGTGTATGTGTGTTCCATTTATTAAAAGCCTACCACTGTTGGCAAGTAAGAATTTTCAGTAAATATAGACCTTCATGCCTGCAATAAGATATAGTGTCAACAGGACAGTTTTTTCCATGACATGATTTTTTTAACTACCTTCACTCTTCAGCAATGTTTACTGTTTTAAAAAGCAATGATTAGGATTGAAATAAAACAAACATGTGATAAAAGTGAATTTATACATTTTTTGTTCTTGAGAAATTATAAAAAAGATATTAAACACTATTTATTAGATTTATTTGCAAGAATAATTCTAGGAAGTAAAAACCAATGCAATTAAAACTAATGTAATGCAATATTTATCATTTACCAATTTATAATGTAATAAATATGAAAACAATTTTCTATTCATTATTTATAAACATTTACTAAATTATTAAAATATGTGAACTAACTATAGGGAAATCAATATTATTTTCACTTTTATAAAGTTTAAGTCAATTAGCAATTAGCCAATGTTTTGCCAATGATTCCAATAAACAATATAATAAATAGTCTAAATAAAAAATCTAATAAATAAACAGTGTTTATTATTTTTGTTACCAATTCTTAAGAACAAAGAAAATGTATAAATTCACTTTCATATGTTTAGGTTTTATTCCAATTCTAATCATCATTTTCTAAAACAATAAACATTGCCAAGGAGTGATGGTAATTAAAATAAAAGCAGTGTCATGGGAAAAAATGTCCTTTTTGACACACCAATTTATTGCTTGCATGAAGGCCTATGTTTACCAAATTTTCTTCAGTTGCTTTTTAGAATAAATAAAATGGAATTTTAATCATCCTAACATTGTCCCAAAAAAAACTAACCAGTCATCCCAAACTAACGTTCACTTGACAACAGGATAATTAATCTCAATTATATACTCTAAATATAAAATTAGGATACATTTGCAAAATCAAACTAACAAAAACATGCAATCAGGATTACTGATCCATTGTCAAAACCACTTTAAGGCATAAAAAAAATCATGTTGGATCAAATATGAATTCATTTTTTAGCCAACTGTATGAACATATAAATCATTTATTTAAAGATTTATTATTGTTGAAATAAATATCTAAAACTCTTTGCAATATTCATTGGACTCTATCTAGGTTAACATTGGTATTTTTTAAAACCACTGTAGCCAGTAAGATAGCTATGGGAGAGTGATTTTCAAAATTACTGACTCTTCTCCATCAATCAATAGGGCATTCCAACAAGGAGATATTTTTGTAAAGATATCAATGAGACAGAATACAAGGATTTGCATTCATGCCTTTTCCAAGATTATAAGTCCTAATTTTAACATAAGTAGTTTCAGTTAAAATTTAAACTCAATTTGCCAATTCAATTTTCTTTGCTGGTAACTGTGATACAACTTAACATTTCTTCACAAAATTATACAACAAAGTTTAAAATTATCCAAATGAAAATATAAGCCTTATTTTTCATAGAGTATGTCAGCAAATCAATCTCTATAGGTTATTTAATGCTGAAATCTAAATATTTTGTACATAATTTTACACTTTCAGGGTAAACCTATGTTTTTAGATATATAGTTTGTAGATAAAATGTATGGTTGGAAAATTTAAAAAAAAATATATACCACTGGTAATTTAACTACAAATTGGTATTTTTATTAATAAAAATGTACTGCTGGTAATTTTACTATAAAAATGTATTTTTATACTTTTCAATTTTTGTATTGATTATCATTTTGCTATAAAAATGTATTGTTGGTCATTCCATCACAAAATATATTCTTTTTATAAAAATGTATTTCTGGTATTTTTATTATAATAATGTATTTTTACACATTACTAGTGTTTTGATCCCTGTTTGAGGGTTCAGTATTTACCCATAGCTGAGACCTTAACCACCCCAGGTCAAGATGGACCAGGGAACAATAGCAATTAAACGTTCGTTCCATACTCCTCAAAACCTCCAATATCCCAATCAGAGGCCTTGCTGCCAGATGTAGTTTATTGTCATACCCAGGACTATTCGTAGAGTATAAAATAGAAATGAGAACAAAATGGAAGTAAAAAAAGGGTAAATGGATGTAATTGGAGCAGACATATTTTAAACAGTATCCCATATATACCTGAGTATAGTGCGAGTTTTTATGATCAGTTTTTTTACGCAAAATATGAAGAGGGCGGTCATATTATACATAGGTAATTTTTTTTTTTTTAAGTAGTTAAAAATCATGCATTTTCGGTGACCAGTTGCACTATACACAGTTAACTTTTTACTGAAGGGGTTAAAATTTATGCATCTTTGGTGACCATAACCTACCTAGTAGGCCTACATTCTCACAGTACCTTTAACTAAACTATAAACTAATATCAAAACTTAATTATTTCAACTTAAAAGCTAAACAAAAATTCTACAAAATCCCCATACTTACATCCCTAATTCCCCCACCCACTAAGAAATGAAATATACAGTAATATGTTGAAAAAAATCTAATGTTTGGTCATTTGGTTTAGGAAGTGGGTCAGGCTAAAAACCTTTCAACACCCCATATTGTATATAAAAAAAACAAAAAAACCATACTTACCATACTAGCTGAGAGAGAGGGAGCTGATTGACCCAACACTGAGTTATGCATCCGTAACAGATTGGTTGTCTCTGTATTGCTAGTAACACCTGGAAAGGGAAAAATATAAAAATCACTTATTTTGAAATATAATAGTTTAGGAACAATATTAAAAAATTAGTCTTTATCCAAAGGTGATGCTGTATATATTATGAGATTGGAAACAAGGCCACTACTATAAATCCCTTCCACAAGAATTGACTCAAACAAGTACTGCTTCCAATTAGACCAAGTGAAAGTAGTAATTGGCAAAAAAAAAAAAAAATGTCCCAAATTAGTTAAGAGAAATAACAAAATATGTCAACAGAATTACACTAGACTATTTGGTGACCAAGCAAAAAAAATGTTACAGCTTAGTGAGATGTTTTAAACATTTTTCAGTCAGCTACCATAAGAGTTTTTATTTTAAATAACATGTCCCTTCAGGATGTAGGCAATCATAACTCTCTACAGCTTCCCTTTTCTTTTATTATCTGTGAATTGATCTGATTTCTGAAGAAAGAAAGTGAAGTGTTTTCCTGCTGCCTTCTCCATGGCTTTTTAATTCAAAGTTTTCTTTCTCTTAGACTGAATGACACCCCACTCTCAACAAAAGGATAAAGTTATTTAACCCATAGCTGTGGCACTAGAGATTGCAACTTTGAATTACCATTTATCATGGTCTTTACAAAATTCTCTTATGAAAAAGTTGCTTGGAAGATTGCAAAAGGGTATCAGAAAGATAAAAAAGCTCAGAGAACATGAAATAATTAAGATAGCAGAAAGAAAGAAAATATACAGTAAATATATTGTCCAATAAAGTTAATGCCAAAATTAAAAAATTGTCTTTCATTTTATCTTAATAAACCAAACAAAATTTTTACCACACAATATAATTTTCTTGTGTTATATCCCTTCAGAATATGGGCAATCATAATTATCCACAATTTCCTATCCTTTGTAACTATAAGTAATGTTTGTTTGCTTACTATTCCTCTCAGTCCTTCTTTTGCCATCCATTTAAACAAGGTCAGTTACTCAGTTTCCCTTTGCCATTCTGGCCTTCAATATGTTTGACAAAGAAAATTTTTTGCCCTCCATCAGCATGGCTGATGCTAACCTTCAGGACAGTGGTGACTCATTGTTAAGCTAATGTTTTCCACTGACATGAAGTTGAAAGATTGTATAGAAAGTTGGTTCAGTCTCATTCTAGACAGTTTTTCTCTCCAGAATCTATCTTAAAGATAGAATCAGCAATGTTATCAGTCTTGACCTGGCATCTCAGCTTCAGTCAGTTTTTCACCAGTATATTGTAGTTCCCTGTGCCTTACCTAAAAATATTTTGATAATTGTTCTGATGGATTTTCTTCTTCCACCTTGACTTGATGAATTTAGGTGCAGTAATAGATTGGCAGTTAGGTCTCATCATTTTATGGTTAAAATTGCTAAATTTAAGTTCTATGGTAACAGTTTCTTGTCTTGCATTTCTCACTTAAGGAAATCTCTCCCAGCTTCTTACTTCCAGTCAAGTTTGATCTTCAAAAATTTAAATGCAATGTCAATCCTTATCTTCTGTCTTCTTAATTCCTGTTGTTTTATTGTTCTCTCTCCTTAATAATGTTTTTCTTTTTCTCATATTCTTTCACTCTATTAAAATAAAAATCCTGTGAATGTCAAATTTTCAAAACCCTTTTATCTTTTTGTGTGTCCGAGAAATTTTAAATGTCTTTTTCTGATTTTAAGTACACTCTGTTCCCATTTTCTTTAAAACTTCCTCATTGCTTACATGTTTTGTCAATGACATTATCAAAATCCTGCTACATAATCACATCTGCTAATTCAAACCTCCTCTTCAAATTTGCGAGGTAACTGTCCAGCATTCACTGTCATATAGAAGAATGGCTATAACATAGCAATTCAACATGCTTTTGTTTTCTAACAGAATTTTCCAGTTTCTTTGTTGTGTCGGAAACCTACCACCCCTCTTGAAGATGAACTTATCTGCGTCTGTGAACAAAGACTTTAAATAGTGGCATGTCAGTTGACATGAGGAAGACAAATAGACAGAGAAGTTCTTAGCTGAGCTAGTTATTGACTACTCAGGCGATTTCTGTACCTTTTTACCAACCTATTAAAACCCTTTTTATTGTTACGTGTTATTTGGCGTTTGTCTCTACTAACCCCAAATCAACATCATAACATTCTTAATACTTGAATTTCCAGTTTCATCCAAGCTATTATATTTGCCACCCAATATTACGCATAAATAAATATTGGGATATAAAAACATAAAAAAATACAATCTTCTATCATTTTCTATATTAGAGAAAAACAACCCACTCCATATTTATTTACTTTTTTTTATTGCATAATTATGAGTGTGTTTGGATTCAATGATGTTTTTGTTAATCATAACTGACATGCTGAATCAGGTTTTAGCATTGTGTCAACATGCTGCAAATTCTGAAAACCTGATCAATTTTGAAAGGTATGAGATTGATTGGGGCAAATATTAATATTACATATGAAATAAGAAGTGTCCATAGCAACTGCATCAACTGATGTGATTTTAATTTTTGCAGAGGCATCGATATACAGGTTAGTCAAAACCATACAAAATATTAAAAAATATACCTTTTTTTTTCTTTTTTTTTTGTCAATCATTTCATCCCAAGCAAGGCAACAAAGCCATTAAGATGCAGGGAATTAGAGAGTGTAAAAGAATATAAGAAAAAGATTATTAAGGAGCAAGAACAATAAAAGAACAGAATTTAAAACAGAAGATAACAATTGACACATTGCCTTTAAATTTTTGAAGATCAAACTTGACTGGAAACTAAAAATCCAGAAAAAGAGTTTCACAAACAAGAAATGCAAAAAAAGAAATTGTTAACATAGAACTTACAGTTATATATATATATATATATATATATATATATGCACTTCTACTTCTCCTGCCTGACTTAGTCACAACATACATATATAATATATGGTGTCTCAAGCCTTAAATGGCAACCTTCTTAAAGATGGTATCTTAATAAAAACACTCAGTGTACAACCATGAGAGTCCAGGTTGGGTGTCAGGAAAGCATCCAGTATTGTAAAAACCTTGCTTCAAATTATTATAAGTCTCAGTATAAATCCTGAAATCCTGTCAAGCAGGACCCACCTTGCTTTGTGCAAGATTAATCCTGATCTTGCCTCAACAAAAATACATGGCTGTGATGATTTAACATAAGTTTCTTGGTCTATCTTAACCCCCTCCCCAATTCAACATTAATACTAGTATGGTAATGATGAGATTAGTTGTTTTTCATATAAGAAAATTTAGATAGTATTTAATGACTATTAGCCACTATTATTGCTCTTTCTAGTATTATACAAGTTTCCAGTTTTGAGTTGTTGTTAAATTTATCAATCACAAAACAATAATTGAAATTTGAAACAAGATACCATCATTCTAACTGATAATTTCATGAGCAACCATTTTCCCAACAAAAGACCATGCTCATAAGCATCTACCTTAGAAATGGAGAAAAGTCAATTTTTTTCGTTTGGAGAACAGATCCTTTCTATAATTAAAAAAAAAAAAAGCCGAAGTCTTGGTATCTCATATGACAGCGTGATTAACTCACATAGATGTGTGTGATTTGTTTCTAATTTGTTCATTTAACTATACAAAAATATTTGTAAAAGAAGAAGTATATTTATTCTCTAGAGAAAAATAATTATCATTCACATTTCCTATTTCTGAAGCAAAAGATGTTTATACGTATGATCTTCATTAGTGAAAATCATCAATTGTTTAAAATGCTGACAACTTTATCATAAACAAAAATTTACAAAATCCAATAAACATTGTACTTAATCATTGTTTATGTATGTGGTTACATATGAAAATATGTAAGTGAACAAGTAAGAATGAAAAAAAAACAAACATTTTAATAAACAGGATTTTTCTCATGATTAGACATGCCATTCAGAAAGTCAATCAAGCTACATGTAGCCCACAAGCTGCAGTTGACTGCATTCGACCATAGATAAGAGACATGTGGCTTAATGGATTAAAGCATTGGTTAAAACATACCAGGTTACCTGGCAATTCTGAGTTCAATCCTCAGGTATGGTAGTGATGAAAAGTCAGTGAAAGAAACAAACCACTAACACAAAAGTCCTGAGTACAAACTGATGCAAAATGTCCCCTAATCGTGGAAAACGGAATGAAAACAATCCGACCATGTGGATTGAATAAAGGATTTTAGTTTAAAATTCCAAGGCAGTTACTGAGTATGAAAGCAGACACCTGAAAAAAGTTACTTCCAGGCTTTCTTCAGTTGGCTGAAATCTTGCAAGTATAACACTCAAAATAAGCATTCCAACATAATGGCTTAGCAAGCTTGTCTCACTAGATCAATTGTGATTGAGTAGTGAGTTTGATCCTCACTGAGTGTTCCCTACTTTTGGCCTTGTGCCACATCTAAGCTATGCTTAGTAAATTACTATAACAATGAAGATGATCATGCTGGTTTGAATAGCAAGGCATGTAATAATGATAATTTCTCATGTTCTTGATGTTGTTACCACAACATTTTAGCCTATACACTCTTCAGTCTTTGTCAGGAATAGAACCAATAATAAGAATGGTTTTAAAAAAATGAAGAAAAATCTATTTCTTCAGAACACAAAAGAGTTCAACTGTTTGAACAAAATTTGGAAGGTTTATATTTTCATGAATGAAAATGAAAGCATTTGATTCCAAAAAAGCTTTTTACTAAAAAGAAATATGAAAGTAGGAGCTCAGTCACATAAAGAGAAGTGAAGTTTTTAAAATTATTTTATCTGTTTTATGGTCAGACAGTACAGTCAACTTTTCATTTTGATAACAAAGCCTGTATGGTTTTATAACTTCCTCTTGTGCTGCACATTTCCTATGCTGTCTGTACATGTGAATAATTGATCTTGTCTGTCCTTTTAAATGTGCATATCAATAAAACATTTGTTTTATAAAAATACTTATCCTCTGACATTTTTCTGTCCTTTTGGATACATACACACACACACACACAGACGC